GACCCACAGCGCCCCTAGAGGACAGAGTGGAACTGCCCACAGGGTCTCCAAGGCTGTCAATCTTCACGGAAGCAAAGCCCAAACCACACCCACTGCCTGGAGTCCATTCTGACCCACAGCGCCCCTAGAGGACAGAGTGGAACTGCCCACGGGGTTTCCATCAATCTTCACGGAAGCTGACTGCCTCATCTTTTTCCTGCAGAGCGGCTGGCAGGTTCAAACCATCCACCTTTTGGTTAGCAGCCAAATACTTCAATCACTGCACCACCTACAACCTGAGCTCCTTAAGATTTCTACAGCCCGTAAAAAAAAAAAAAATTCCCCAAATGAAGACAAGATTGCTAAGGGGTGTGGGGCTCCTTTGTGCCTGATCCAAAAGAGTGGGAGCTGGCACAGAAGGGGGTCCGTGCACACACCTGATGGGTTCGCTGAGGGCCTTGGATGCCAGGTCCACCGGGTGGGGCTGTGGGAGGGCTTCTCAGAGGAAGGCCGAGCAGAATGGTGCTCCTGGGGGCCCTGTGTCTGCGGGTCAGGAGCAGGACCGGACCTGCTGTGACGGACGCCAGGCAGCAGGCTGGGCAGGAGAAAGGGGCCTGAGGGGGGGGCCTCTGGGGTGAAGAGGGGCACCCTTCCTGGGCATTCAGTTCTTCCCTTATATTTTTCTGTTTGTTCATTTAACAATCACCTGCTAAGTGGTTGCAACGTGCTGGGCATGTCCAGTCTGGAGAAGGCATTTAAGCTACAGTTAGAGGCATGTCCCGTGGAGTGTTCCCTGGCTGGTGCCCACAGCACCCCTGGTCCTTGGCCCAGGGTGGGCTCAGGAAGGAAAGAGGCCCAGTGGCCGCAGATGCAAGGGACAGGCGGTGGCCATGGTCCCCACCACTGGCAGCAAGCGGCCTGGCCTCTTCTCGCCAAAGAGCTTAGCCGCCTGTCGGCTGGCTCAGGGAGAGGCCTGATGGCTGGCATGTGGGCGGGCTGGCTCTCTGCTGCCTCCTGCCAAGCTTGCTCCAGGCAGCCTCAGAGTGGTAAGGAGTCCTGTGCTGTCCCCTGGCTGGGACAGGGAGGGTGATGGATTTAAGGAGTGCAGAAAACTCAGTAATCAAAATCAGCCACATTTCAATCATCAAAATGAATGTGAAAAAACTCACAATGAACAAAATGCAATGTGTCTTAGTTTGGGCAAAGTCTGCAGAGCTTAGAGGAGGGGCAGGGGGTGCTGTCACTGCTCTTGGTGGGGCTCCCCGCGAGAGAGGAGCCGGGAGGGGTCCCAACTGTCCTGCCCTCTTGTTTCAGGCTGCCCTTTCCACCGGGGGACCGAGTGACCTTTAATGGGAAGGAATGCCTGTGCCAGAAGTGTTCCCTGCCCGCATCGCTGGGCAGCAGCGCCCACCTGTCCCAGGGCCTGCGGAGTAAGTGGGTGCTGGGCAGTGGGTGGGGGATGGCCTTGGCAGTCCTGGCAGGGGCCTGAGCACACTTGGACCCAAAGCAGGCTCCGCAGGAAGGGACCCAGAGCAGAAGCCTCAGACTTGCATCCGCTGAGGCTTTGCATAAGCTGTTCCCTTCCCCCAAGTCAGTCCTGCTTCTGCCTCCAACTCCACGTGGGCTTCTGTCCATCACCTCCAGGAAGCCTTCCTGGCTTTCTCCTGCCCCCCCCCCCAGCACACACACGCACCTCCACCTCCTAATCCAGGGCACCCCAGAAACCTTCAGGGGTGCCTTAGAAGAGCCTTGAGCATTGACTGTGGGCTCCGTGGGGTGGGGGCCCTGGAGTTCGCTGCAGCATCACCCACAAGCTAGACGGGGTGTGCAGGATTGTTGAGGTGCCCCTTGGATGAAGTGGGTGCTCGTTACTGTCAAAGGACACCGTGCCGGCGGACTGTGCCAGTGAATGGATGCGGCAAGGCGGGGCTGGGCAGGAGCAGGGATGCCCACCTTGGCGAGCCCTTGGCGGCTCAGATGTGGACGCAGTGGTGTCCCTCGGACAGGGGCCACATGCTTGGGACAGACGGGCTGCTGACTGGCTTCCAGAGGCAGCCTCTTGCCCAGGGTCGGTTTCTACCCTCAACTGCACACAGGGGGCTTCCCTGTGGGAAGGGCGACTCGAGGCCAGCATCATTTCCATCTGGAACTGAGTGGAGGCGTTCCCCACGGGGAGCAAGCTCACAGCAGCTGTAGGGGGCCCTCCGTCCAGACACTTCCCTCCAACTGGTGCCCAAATCGTGCTGTGGCCGGATCTTCTAAATTTGCTTGGTGAATGGTTCCCGCATCAGCTGCCACTGTCTGTACTGACTCGCTGGGTCTCCATGCGTGCTCAGTGGAACTGTGTGCTGATTGGCGGGGCCTCGGTCCGCGCTCAGTGGAACTGTGTGCTGATTGGCGGGGCCTCCGTGCGTGCTCAGTGGAACTGTGTGCTGATTGGCGGGGCCTCAGTCCGCGCTCAGTGGAACTGTGTGCTGATTGGCGGGGCCTCGGTCCGCGCTCAGTGGAACTGTGTGCTGATTGGCGGGGCCTCGGTCCGCTCTCATGGAACTGTGTGCTGATTGGCGGGGCCTCCGTGTGTGCTCAGTGGAACTGTGTGCTGATTGGCGCGGCCTCCGTGCGTGCTCAGTGGAACCGTGTTCTGTAGGGTTTTCAATGGCTGCGTGGCCTGGCAGGTGTGTCTTTCAAGGCATCTCTGGGTGAACGCAAGCTTCCAGCCTTTCAGTTGGCAGGCGAGCACATTAACCATTCACATCACCCGGTGCTACTGTTAAAATTCATTCAGAAAGAGCAACACAAGCGCTGCTACAAATAAATTAAAGAGGAGCACAGCGTGTGCAAAGGCTTCCTGGCAGCCAGAGCAAAGACAGCAACAGGCCTTTAACACGTGGGCAGAAGGACTCTGGCCACGCACACGCGCTGTGAAGTGGTAGCCGGCCTTTTGGGAACACAGGCGGCTAGGAACAAGAGAAAACTGGGGGTGGGTTGCCCACACCTCTCCCAGGACCTGTCTTCATGCCTATAGCTTCCCACAGCCCTGTCTGTGGGCCCCCAGCTCCCCCTTCCAGCCCCTGCCCCAGCCCCTCCAGGCTCGCCAGCCCTGAACCTGTTGCTGGCGTCATCCAGGGTGGTCCTTTGAGGGGCCGGGCCTGTGCCCACTGGAGCAGCTCTGAGCTCCATGTCCGTGCTGGACCCTACCCCCGACACACACACCGTCTGTGCAGCCTGGCACAGAGTCAGCGGTGGGAGGGCACTGTGGCCTGGAGGGGACCTGGAGGTGGAGAGATGAGGGCTTGGACTGGGGCCAGTTCTCTATGGCTCTGTCCACAGATGTGGGGCCCTGGGGTGCACAGACGCGGCCTCCTCAGCTCCCAGAGACTGGGGACTGCTGTGTTCTCTGTGGTGTGAGGCCACACTGCCCCATGTGCCCGGGCACCAGTGATAGAGCCTGGGAGTCACAGCCCTTCTTGGTGGCCCGCTGGCCGAGCCCACAGCCACCTGGAGAACAGGAGAAGGCCCCCCCTGCATCATGCCCTTGAACCTGAGGCGACAGATGCCAGTGGGCTGGGGACTGGGAGGTGCACCTGGGGGCGCAGCGGCCCCAGTCAGATGTCCCTGGCTGTTTTCCAGCCCCACACACCCGGCTGCAGGGCAGCTGTGGGCCTGTGTCTCTGGTCCAGTGTGACACAGGGCCGTGCCTGAGCCAGCTGATCCCGGGGAGTGGCCCCCCCTCCTCCCGCTCTGTAGTGAAGTCACCTGCAAGCCTGCTGCATCCCAGTCTCTTCACACACTGTCTGGTTCCTTCATGCAGACGGCCATTTTCAAAGGCAAAGCTCGGGTCTGGTCCTGAGCCAGCCCCCTTCCCCTGAGCCCCGAGTTCTGGGCACTGGCCTTGGGAGCAGTGGGGAGGGGCTGACCCACACCAGCCCCCCGAGTGCTAGCAGACTCAGGGCGTCACCCCGGTCCCCGCAGCAGGGCAGTGGCCGAGTAGAGCCTGACCCAGTCTTCACTTTTCCTGTGACCACGTCTTCTGGAACAGTGACAGCTGTGGGAAACCAGGAAACTGCTCAGAAGGTTCTAAAAGGGTCACTCGGGGGAAGAGGCCCAGGGCCTCCTGTTGCTGGTGCCGACAGAGCTTGGCCGGGTGGGCAGTGGCCTCCGGTCGGGGGACAGAGCCCTTCCCAGGGAGCCTGCTCCTGGCGTCGGGGTCACTGCGCCAGGAGGGGTGCCCAGCCCTGCCACATGCTCTTAGGGACACCCCTGCTGACAGCCTTTCCCAGCAGGACTGTCACACGAGACCTCGTGTGGCCGTTTGCAAAGCCACCAGAGCTCCCCCAGGCCTCAGAGGTACGGGAAAGATGCTTGTTTTCATGGTGATTCTCACCCTTCCTGTCTGCGCCTGGCTCTGGTCCCCTGCCCTGCCTGCTGACGGCCAGTGATGGCCGCCCCAGCCCCCGGTCCCCAGGGAGTACTGGGGGTGGGTGGGGTGGGAGGGCCAATTCCTTCCTGTGAATCAGGCACCCGGCAGCCAGACTCGGAGTCCGTCCGCAGCTCTGTCCTGGGGTGCTGAGAAGTTAGGGCAGCCCGCCCCCTGGGGGCATGCATGGCCCGGTGGGGAAGGGAGGCCCGCAGCTGTCAGGACGCCCCCACCCCCCAGGAGGGCACAGCACAGCCTCAGGTGCAGCCCCTCCCTGCAGGGCCACTGGGGGTCCTGCGCCCGAGTGAGCTTCTGGGAGCCCTGTCACCCCTCCCTGAGCCTTCCCCTTTCAGCCTGAACATGGCCCGTTTTTCTGCACAGGGGCCGAGCCGGTTTGGGGCTCTAAGTACCACGCCAGCAGCCGGCCCCTGCCCCGTGCACCATGCACTCTGCCTGCCCACCGAGGCCCGCTCAGCTCCAGTGGGGTCCCTGCCACGCAGGCCCAGCCCCGGCTGCACTGCACGGCCTTCATGCCCTGGCTGCCACCTGCATCCCCCCAGTTGTGACACCACACCTGTCTGCAGACATTGCCGGGTGTGCCAAGGGGGGTCTCCACATGAGAACCCTGATGGGAAATGCGCAGAGGGTGCCCGTGATCACCTGGGAAGTGACCTTGAGCCAAGGCTCATCACCGCCAGGTAGACCCAGAACGGGGACCAGGCCACAAGGCTGCCCCGCGGGGCTGGGAGGGCGCGGGGAGGGCCTGGTGTCCCAGACTTAGCAAAGGCGGCTCCTGCCACCTCCTTCCCTACCTCCCCCTCCTTTCTCCACGTCGCCCCCCACTTCCTCTCTCC